TTTTTATTTTAATTAATTTAAATTTAAATAGTATAGCTCTAGACCTGCTTCGTTCTAATGACGTGTGGTAGTGCATCCTACGGCTCTGCCAGAGTTTATCCAACCAGTTCCCTGTCGGTAAACATTGAGATTGTTTTTCTCTTTACTATTACAAGTGCTACAAGGTAGAATGCTTGGTCGAAGCATACATGTATTTTTGATTTTTCATAGCAATGACCACATGACTTTATAAAAAGGTTATAATGATTTTGCCAGCCAGTATTATTTTCTTTAATTTTTGCTACTCTGATGGGCAAAATGGTGTTGCAGTAATTTACATTTCTTTATTCCTTTTCTTTTTAAAGGATATTTATCTATGACAGTGGTTAGATATTTACAGCACTTGGCATAAGAATAGTAAGAACTCTTGTAATCTGGCTTACTGCTGAGTTTACAGAATTTAGGACTGAGATTCTGAATAGCTTGAAGAATTATTACATATAATTCCTATGGATAATTCTGATCCCTACTAGTTTCACCCAAAGATTAATAAAACACAGAGCATGAAAATGGTGGGTGTTAACGAAAATGGGTAAGTGTGGGCCGGCCCGGTGGCGCACTGGAGTGTGCACCGCTTGGGAAGCGCGGCAGTGCTCCCGCCGAGAGTTCGGATCCCATGTGGAGACCGGTTCCCGCTCACTGGCTGAGCGCNGCGATCCCGTTACCGGTCAGTAAAAAAGACAAAAAGGAAAAAAAAAAAAAAAAGAAAATGGGTAAGTGACTCTCAGAAGACAGTCAAAAGCCAAAAACATTAGCAAAATGTTCTGGCCCTCTTTTACTAGTGTGTACCCACAAGGGCCTTTACTGACAGTGTTTAAGTTTGAAAACAGAAAAATGCAGAGGGAACCACGGTAAGTGACTCTCAGAAGACAGTCAAAAGCCAAAAACATTAGCAAAATGTTCTGGCCCTCTTTTACTAGTGTGTCCCCACAAGGGCCTTTACTGACAGTGTTTAAGTTTGAAAACAGAAAAATGCAGAGGGAACCACTAATCTAATTCATCATTATATAACAGCAGCAGAATTACATATCACAGGAACTGGATTGCTAGTAAACAAAAAATGGAGAAATATTGGTAAATCAACACTAATGGATGGTTATCAATCACAAAGTTACTACTTTGAATACAACCAAGACCTTCCACAAGCAACACCATGATAAGCTTGTTTTATCTGGTAGAAACAAATTTAAAAATCAATGTGAATTTACTGCACTGACAGGCAAACAAGGAAACGTAGTTTACTAGTCATTTCGGCTGATATATACTTCATTTCTTCTTGAAATCCTCACTGCTCTAAATTTAACCTGTTTACATTTTAGCGTTCAGCTATGAATCAAGTTTAATCTTGAGAATTCACAGTACCATGGCATATCCAAACAGATAGACTATAATTTAATTTCTTTTGAGTGAGTTTAAGGTAAGTTATGTTGATCTAATTTGTCAACCCAAATTATTTTCCAAATAAAACTAATTCAGTTCCAATAGCACAAATGTCTTTTAAAAAGTTCTAAAGTAGTTTTTCAAACTACTTTTCACTGTGTCCATTACCAGACAGCATCTGAGAAGTGTTTCTGCAGCAGAATGGAAGAAAAGGCCCAAATGGCCCAATAACTCACAACTCAGTTCACTAGGACGTGTGTCTTCCTTCATAAGGGAAGATAAGACAGATCTCAAACCCAGTGTAACAGTCTCTGTGGACAAGGAAATCCCTAGAGCGACAATCTGAGAACTAAACAGCAGGGCTTGGGGAATTCCTCTGAAAGGCTGAGCCATCTTCGGTTAAAGATATAATCATATATAGGGGATTCCAATTTCAACAAAACTGTTTTCTAAATGAGCTGATAAAGTTGTGGGAGACCTGAACTTTCTGGGGGGTGGGGGAGCGATCAGCATGACTGACTGTTTTAGAATATAAAAGACTAAAGACGACCTGTAAGCTGGGAGGTCCGCACTTTCAGCTAGGAACTGAATGCTTTCCTTGCAGCCAACTCATTACACCTAGGCCAGTGACTCAGAAGCATAAGGAAGGGAAGGCGAGGCCCACTCTTACCTGGCAGTTGTTTCTCTAGGACTTTCTGATCAAGTTGATTAGGACATTTTATCTTCAGTGCTTGAAGGAAAAAAGGGAAAAGACTAAACGATATTTACTATAAAAAGGATTTAAATTATATGTGAAGTTAATAGGGATTCCCAAATAGTAAAGCTGTTCGGTATACCCTGGGTCAGTCCTAATAAAGGAATAGGTTTTATTAATGTTTAAAATTTCTTCTATTAAAACTTCTGTGATTTAGTGCTCGCTTCGGCAACACATATAATACGTCCATGAACTGCGAACAACAGACAGCCCGACCAACACACACTACATTCCTTCCCTTTCCCCTTCGGTGCTCCTCTCCTGACAATTTAGGTTTTCAAGTGTAAGAAAGCCACAGATTTCCAAATCCCACTTTGGTTCACCACTCAAATACGTCCCACATATATAACACTAGTAGATGAGTTTAAAGCACGAGACTTGCAACAACGTTCAATGTAAGAATTTAGATATACTGGAGAATTCATTGTTTCTTTAAAACTCCAGGCATGCACTTGGGTACTTCCTTAAGAAAAGTGCACTTAATCCTCTCGGGCCATCACTATCTGCTTTAGCACATAAGGACTTGAACAAAACTAAGATGTACTGGAATTTGCGATTCTTACTTAGTAGCTGGTTTTTGAGCATAAAAGGTTGCTGTGGTTTGAGCTCCCCGTCTTCAGGTGCACCATACTCTGTTTAAGAAGAAATAAAAAGCGATGAGAGAGAAACCAAAGGTCATCTGTAAGGAGGGGAAAAAAAGGTACAGGTAAGCGGCAACACAGCCTTTCCCTTCCCAGGACAAGCCTGGCAACAGCTGATACGCTGACCTGGGATCGGCTTCCTTTTATTCAGTTGCGTGTTTGGTTTTTAGGAGAGACGGACAGTGACCACTTCCAAAGGCAGAACCCCCATGACTGGTGTGCTGTGTGACTGTTCCTTAAGGACTGACAGCGTCCTGACTGAACCTAGCAAGACACGGCTGTGCTTTCAGTATCTGCAATGTTTATTCAGAGTTCACCTTGGCTCCCTATCTTTGGGTCCAGAGGGGGAAACCTGATACTCTTTTGGACACAATTCACAGGACATCTTCACCAGGTTTCAACCAGATGGTGCAGTGCCAGGCTGGGCGCTCACACCATCGCCACAGACCAGCTCCTCTGCCCGGAAACCCAGCCTCGAGGAGGAAAACAGTACTTTTCTCCTGCACTAAGCCAACCTGGGACAGAATTTCTCTAACACCCCCAAGTACCTGCGCTTTTGTCTTCTAGCGTTCTTAGCAGTGAGATACTGAACCATACCTGCCAGCTGCTTCCAAACCTTCCCTTCCCCACCCCCACCCCCACCCCCAAGTGACTGAGAATTCACCTAGAGTGGCCAGGAAGAGAGCCAGCTAATGGGGTGACGTGAGAGCAGTTCCCAGAGAGAATGTTCCAGCCTGAGGCATTTGTGCAGTGAACTTACATTGGGAAATATGTAAAAAGGAAAATCACATAAAAGTGAAAAGTGGAATAATAATGAAGTCAAACCAAAATGGAAAGTAGATCAGGGACAGCCCAGAGAGAATGTTCCAGCCTGAGGCATTTGTGCAGTGAACTTACATTGGGAAATATGTAAAAAGGAAAATCGCATAAAAGTGAAAAGTGGAATAATAATGAAGTCAAACCAAAATGGAAAGTAGATCAGGGACAAAGACTCATGAATTCTTAGCTTCAGAGCGTGAGGAACCAGGCTGGAGAATTGGAGGAACCGCCGGGCATGCGGAATGCCAAACTCAGCAGCACACACAGTGAGCTCATGACCAGAGCGCTTAGGAGGTGCTCGGCTCTCATCGGAACTCGCGGGCACCGAGGGGAAGAGGATTGCTTCCCACCTTTCCTAAAGTGGAGAGTGGCACCCACCACCCGAAGTCTGAGGTCTGTGTCCACGTGCACGTGTGAGAAGCGCTTGCGTGTGAGGACAGCTTTCCGGGCCCAAATGCAAATCTCTCCCTTTCAGGACCCTACCCACGTGGTCTTCTGCTTTCTTCTGCTGAGAGAGCTACATGAACTTGCTGAGGAAGCCCCAGGAAAGCACTTATAGTCCAGTTAGACGAACACAGAAAGCCCCAGGAGGGGCTGGCCGGCTAAATGACCTGGTTAGAGGGTAGTGCTGATGTCACCGAGACCAAGGGTTCAGATCCTGTACTGGCCAGCCGCCAAAAAATAAAATAAAAAAGCCCCCAAAACGGACAAAAGCAAAAGCCATCCCCCAACCTTGAGAACCTCTTTTGATACCCAAGGAAACACTGCTCCAGCCGCAAGTCCAGCACAGGAGAGGCCGCCCGTTTACACGCACGTACTAAGGCAGAGTAGCTGGAATCTCGGGTGGGCTGCAAGAAATTCGTCGCTGGGTCTGTTTCTGTCGGGATCCTGATGGCCACCCGCATTTTTCCATTCATTTCCGAAAGCTTTTCGGTAATCAAGCTCAGCTCCACGCCGTTCCTCTGCTAGAATCTGTGTTGAAGTGAAAGAAAAATGAGCCTCTTCAGGCATTTTTCTAATCAGGTGTTTGGGTTTAAAACGTGGCCCTTCCTCCACCAGCCACAGACAGGATCACCCATCCAGAGCCACGAGACCGTGCTCAGTCACCGTCACCCTTCCCACCTCGCCCCTCTAACGCTGACAACTCAGGAGCCTACTCAAGAGAAACAAGAACTCGTTTGATCCTTTCCTTCATGACAATATGGATTTGCCCATGAGCCAATTTCGGGGCTACACTGGGGGCCTCAGGTCGCCCACCTGAGGTTGGCCGGAGGGGCCCGGCCTGAGGAGCTGCTGCTCCGAGTGAGCCCGCAGGACAGTGCCCGCAGCACGGCCTCCCTTTCCCGGGGAAGAGCAGCTGGTTTAAAATGAGGTTTTGTCTTCTTTCTGCCTACGTCTCTCCCCGACAAAAGAAGGTGCCCAGTATTCCCAGTCCCTCCCGACATGGTGACAAGTGGGGCCCAGGGCAGCAGGTCGGCAGGTTTTCCTGCACTGATAAGTGGGGCACTCTCCAGACCAGGCGGAAAGGAACCGTCACTATTCACATGCACAACGGTATTTGCCCGTTGAAAGGAAAGCTGTGTCTCACAACCTCGACTGTATTCAAATATAATTTCTTTCTTTTGTTTTTTTGGTGGCTGGCTGGTACAGGGATCCGAACCCGGGACTTTGGTGTTAAAAGGCTGCGCTCCAAGCAACTGAGCTAACCGGCCAGCNCCGAACCCGGGACTTTGGTGTTAAAAGGCTGCGCTCCAAGCAACTGAGCTAACCGGCCAGCCCCAAATACAGTTTCTTTTCACATTTTTTGATAACTGACTTTCTAGTGTCAAAGAGATCCAGGCGTGGGCCCGGCCCTCACCTCACACTTGTTCAGGGTCTTCAGCTGACCGATCTTGGCGATGATGAGCTGCCTCGTGGTCGCTGCTTTGTCCCCCTCGGTCAGGGGGTTTCTCATGCAGGACAGCGCGTGCAGACTCTGCAGCTTGTCCAGCTCGTTGAAGAATGACCACTGAAAGCCAAGGGGAGAAGCAAATGAAAAGCACAAGTTTCAGCCTCCTTTTTCAGGTGATCTGAACCAGCATCGGAAAGCAAAATAGTCCCAGATTCTCATGTGAGGCACCCACACACTCCTGCTCGACAGCTGTGCCGTTTAAAAGGACGGTCTGCTTAAGTGTGAATTAAACTAATTTCTTTCACACTATTTTTGACTTTATATTAGGAGTTTCACTCTGAGGAAACACTTCTCTCTTGATTTACTATGTTTTTTAATAGAGGACCCTACAAAGCCTGCCAGGAGCGTGGAGACAAGTGACAACGTGCCGTGCACGCTCCGAAGCTCTTACTTGTGATATCTGATTGTTGTCTACTAGGAGGTACTGCAAGGACGGGAACAAGGACGTCTTACACCCTGGAAAAAGGAGGATTAGGTTACACAGTAGAAGTGAAAGAAATAGATAAAGTACGGGGCGGGGGGCGGACTTCACTAATCTTATATACCAATTCCAGCGTCCGGAAAATGTAGATTAGAAATTCCAATGTCACAAAGGATGAGTCGTTCTAATCTGAAATTAATAAATATTAAGTTTGATTATACAGAACAATATTAAATGCTACAGGCTATCAACCAGACTAGGTTTATTAATTTTTCATACACCCTGGGTTTTCATCCCACGTAAAATGCTTAGCAACCATAAAGTCCAAGTTAGGCCGTGCGAAGCGGGCTCTTAATGCTGTAGTCGCTACTTCTACAGTCATCCAGCAATCCCTGGGAGCCTGCTGCTGGGTCGAGTGCTACAAGGGCCTCAGAGGAAAGAGACATGGTCTTACTTCCTGAAGTTTAATAAATGAAGACCCTTGGCACTATCGCCAGGGTCCGGTTATTCTCTCGTACAGATGTAGTCTACGTTGTACATGGTTCATAAGTAAATTCTCTAAATGAATTCAAATAAAAATTCTCCAAATGGAATAACTCAATTTAGAGATTCCATCAACATTATCGTATTTCTATTGAGGAGGTATACGAGAAGCCTTCAAAAAATTCATGGAAAGCCCAGTGGTGCACTGCTATAGTGCGCCGCTTGGGAGCGCGGTGGCACTCCTGCCAAGGGTTCAGATCCCACATACAGACTGGCCACTCACTGGCTGAGCAAGGTGTGGGTGCAACACCGTGGGCTGTGATCCCGTAGCCGGTCCCGGTCCGGTACGGGCGCGACACTGAGGGTTGCGATCCNGATGAGCTCGGTCTTATGAGTTTATTTAGATCGATTAGCTTGGTCTGATGAGTTTACTTAGGTCGGTGAGCTTGGTGTGATGAGTTTACTTAGACCGATGACGTTGGTCGCATGTGTTTAGTTAGATCAATTAGCTTGGTTTGATGAGTTTACTTAGATCAATGAGCTTGGTCTGATGAGTTTACTTAGATCGAAGAGCTTGGTCTGATGAGTTTACATAGATCGATTTGCTTGGTCTCCTGAGTTTACTTAGATCAAATAGGACTGTCCAATGAGATTACTTAGATCGATGAGCTTGGTTTGATGAGTTTGGTTAGATCGATGAGCTCGGTCCGATGAGTTTACTTAGATCGATGAGCTTGGTCTGATGAGTTTATTTAGATCAATTGTCTCTGTCCGATGAGTTTACTTAGATCGATTAGCTTGGTCTAATGAGTTTACTTGGATCGAAGAGCTTGGTCTGATGGGTTTACTTAGATCGATGTGGTTGGTCAGATGAGTGTAGTTAGATCGATGATCTTGGTCTGATCAGTTTACTTTGATCAATTAGGTCTGTCAAATGAGTTTACTTAAATCGACTAGCTTGGTCTGATGAGTTTACGTTGATCGATAAGCTCGGTATGATGAGTTTTCTTAGATCAATTAGCACTGTCCGATGACTTTAGTTAGATCGATTAGCTTGGTTTGATGACTTTACTTAGATTGATGAGCGTGGTCTGATGAGTTTACTTTGATCGATTAGCTTGGTCTCATGAGTTTACATAGATCGAGTAGCTTGGTCTCATGAGTTTACTTAGATCGATGAGCTTGGTCTGATGAGTTTAATTTGATCGATGACCTAGGTCTGATGACTTTAATTAGATCGATG